GGGTGGAGGGGAAAGAGGCATGCGCCAGCCTCAAACCAGCTGTGCAGGGGATGGAGGTATGGCCCAGCCTCATGGAGGGTGGGGAGGAGAAGAGGGCATGGGCTGACTGTTGACTGGGAGCGGGTATGGCCTGGCCCCATTTGAGCTGTGTGGTAGGAAGGTTATGGCCCGGCTCAGACTCACTGTACAGAGCTTGGGATTTTGGCAGCAAGGAGGAGTGGCAGTATTAACTGCCATTCCTCCCTGCTGCCAAATTTCACGACCCTTGGGGAGCCCCATAGGCTGGATTTGTATTTGGCCTGGAGCTCAGAGGTTGAGCTCCCCTGGGTTAGAGCATCAAAAGTTAAATTTGTGTTTCTAAAAGCTTTTCTGTAAGTAGGGTAGAATCCTCGTCACTTGAAAACAAAATTGCCTCAGTGCTAAAGGTGGTAAGTTGCTTTTATTTCTGACATATTGGCAAATAATTGTGAACATTTTCATACATGGGCCAAATATTTCCAAAATAGGAGCATGAAGTTAAGCACCAATAAGATTACCAACTGTGCTTATGTGACTTGGGAGCACAAACTCCATTGTCATCTTGCTGTGACCCTTGATAAAAGGATAGGTTCTCCTTGAAGCATTTAAATATTTAATAGGGAAGGAAGTAAAGAACTAACAATATAAAAAAACGTGATTTAAATATATGAAATATTTTATTAAAAAGTACTTTTATATCCAGATAATTCATAGTAATGAAAGCAGTTAACAACAAGATTTATTTGTGTTTGCTTTGGAGGTATATGCACGAATATGTATCAATAGTTTTATACACTACCAATGTGAACGATCTCCTTAAGTGTGTAACAGTGTTTTCTTTTAAAAATATTTGTAACTTAATCAACTTGGTTCTTTTTATGCAGAAGCACTGATAGTGTAAATCCTTTCAGATGGGACCAATGTTCAGAAAAGTCCATTTGAGACTATAAAAAAAAAAAAACAAAACAACTTGAGAGCCCTTTTAATGGTGTATTATATCTTCTATGGGTAAGGCTTTCTGTTAAAATTATTTCTGCTTTTAACTACTAGTATTCTAACTATAACTAAACCATCTCTCTCCTCTAAGAGAAGTACTGTACTCTAGGTAGACATAATGTTTGAAACTCTTCAAATGGCATTTGAAATGCTTCAAAGAATGAACCATACATTCACATATGGACATGAACTGTGAAGCAGTCCAAAAATGGCAGAAGTACTCCAAAAACAGCCCTGAAAAACTGCTGCTATTTAGAAGCACTTCAAAATGAAGCCATTCTGGCTATATAGCAGGGTTTTTGCTTGTAGCCCTGTTGGTCTAAGGACATAGGCAGACAAGGTTCTTTAGATAGATGTGCTATCTTTTATTAGACCAATAGAGTAGTTGGAAAAAAGTTCTTTGCAAGCTTTCGGATGCAGTCATCCTTTGTCAGGCATAGGGAGTCTCAGCTGGTCTGAAACGCCAAGGAATGAGAGAAGCTAAAAGTGTGGAGGGATGTCAGTGAAAATGTAAATAGTTAGAGATAAGCAAGACAAAAGGCAAAGCAGGGAGGAGGAAGAGAGCAGGGGGAAGAAAAAGTCAGAGGGAGACAACAGAGATAAAATACAAGGTGAAAAAGAGGCAGTCTGTGAACAGGGGAATAGTTGGAGATGAG